CCTTACCAGTAAATAAATCTCTCCTTGATAATAGTAACTTAGTGCATTTATAACTCTCATTTAATCAAAAGTTGATTTTCATCGACTCAACATTTTTTTTTTTAATTCTCACTTGAGAATATTTTTTCCATTGATTTTTAGAGAGAGTGGAAGGGAGGGGGAGACACAGAGAGAAACATCGATGTACTAGAGACACAATGATAGGTTGCCTCCTGCATGCACCCTGACCCGGAGCCAGGGATCTAGCCTGCAATCAAGGTACATGCTCTTGACTGGAATCGAACCCCTGACCCTTCAGTCCACAGGCTGATGCTCTAACCACTTAACATACTGGCCAGAGCTCAACATTTATCTTTTAAATGCAAATTTAAAATACCCTTGGATGGCAAAACATGTTTATTTACTCTGTGCTAGGTACAAAATGAAACTTCATGATATAGTAGTTCCTGCCCTCTAAAAGTTCAAAGGCAAGTCAATTAATGATTGACTGCAGAACAGCCTAGTTAAGTGTGTATAAGGAAAAAAAAAAAGACCTTCCCAGATGACCACAGCGGGAACACATGGGTCTTATCACAGACCACTGTACAAGGAGCCAGAAGCCTCCAAAACTTGTTTTCATGGAATTCATCTGTAAAAACAAAACAAAACACAAAACCAAAAAGATGGGACAATATGAATACTGCTATATACTATTGCTGGGAAAAGCATTTTTTCAATAATGTCCACTTCATATCACTTTGTACTAGGGACCATGTTAAGGGCTGAGATAGAGAAGGACAAGGCACATCTTGATACAGAGCTCATAGTCCAGGTAGGTGCCACACAAGAGCAGATATGTTATCACTCCAGAGGAGTCCCCTGTCCCTGTGAATGAATAATCTTCAGGCATGGTCAAGTAGTTAAAAAGAAAAATTATCCTAACCTGCATTTCAAAAGGTGAAACAAAAAGTTTTGTTTTTTTTGTTTGTTTTATAGCCAATTAATGTTTTTGAAATTAGGTCAGTGATTCAGGCTCAGCAGAAATGCTGATGCCAGGCCCCACCCAAAGCTTATTGCTTCAGAACCACTGGGGGCCTGGCAATTCTCCAGTCAAGAACTATTTATGTATGTATATATGTATGTATGTATTTATTTTTGTTAATCCTCACCAGAGGATATTTTTTCCATTGATTTTTAGAGAGAGAGGGAGAAAGGGAGGGAGGAAAGAAGAGAGAAACATTGATTGGTTGCCTCCAGGACCCAGTCAGATGGAATCTGTAATCCAGGTTTGTGCACCTTGGTGCAGAGGCCAGTACTCAAACCACTTAGCACAATGGCCAGGGCTAGCTATACTTTTTCTCACTGTCAATTATTAGGAAATATCCACATTTGTATCAACAGTGCTTTCTCAACCTTTAAAATAAAGGGTTCTTGACTCTCTGGCCAATGTGGCTCAGTGACAAGTGTTGGTCCTCCCACTGAAGGGTTGAGGGTTTGATTCCCAGTCAAGGGCAAGGACCTGAATTGAGATTTGATCCCCACCCAGATGGGACACATTTGGGAGACAACCAATCCATGTGTCTCTCTCACATTGATGTTTCTCACTCTGTGCCTCCCTTCCATGCTCTCTAAAAATCAATGAGGAAAAAATATCCTTGGGTGAGGGTTAACAACAAATATGTAGAGTACTAGAGGCCTGGTGCACGAAATTCATGCACTGGGGGGAGGGAGGGGGTGTGTGTCCCTCAGCCCGGCCTGCGCCCTCTCGCAGTCTGGGAGCCTTTGGGTGATGTCCGACTGAAGGCTTAGACCTGCTCCCCACGCTGCCGCGACAGTCGACAGTCGGACATCCTTAGTCAGCTGTGAGCCCAGCTTCTGGCTAAGCGGCGCTCCCCCTGTGGGAGCGCACTGATCACCAGGGGGCAGCTCCTGCATTGAGTATCTGCCCTCTGGTGGTCAGTGCGCATCATAGTGACCGGCTGTTCTGCATATTAGCCTTTTATTATATAGAATAATACAACTTGAATAATTTTTGTGATTTAGTATCCATCAAGTGTTACAAAGAGTTCTTATTTAAAGGGAGTTCTTATTAAAAAGATTTCTAGCAAAAACACAATAGAGCGAAATATGGCACTATGGCAGTGCCAACCTCAGCTGCAGAGGTTTGTTACCTGCTGGTATTATTTGCTATCTGTGTTTACATGTGCATCTGTTTTCAGGAGAAGAAAAGCCGCTCAAGTGGGTCAAGATTATTAATATTAAACAACTAACCTTTAACTGAGAATTTACTGAGTACTATTATAAACAGGGCACACTGATGCAGCATAGTTTATAGCATAAGCCTTAATGTCAAACCAGATCAGAGTCCTGGCTTCACTTACTACACCGGTAGCATCTGGGCACTGGAAATATACACCATCTTATAAACATTATTATTTAGTATTCATTTCAAAATCTAGTACAATTATGTGTTTGCAATTAAAACCCCAAAACTCACCAATGGGTGAATTTTTACACTATATCTAGAAGCAATATTTAATATTAAAAACTTAATTTTTGAAAAAGAACACAAAATTGCAAAGCAGTTCGTGGTTACAAGCATGGCCCATTACAATACTGTTACCTTAGGCCTATCACTTGACTTTCTGGTCCTTATCCTTCTCTCCTGTAAAAATCTTCCGGTCACAGAGGATTTGACCATATCATCTCTTGAGGCCCCTTCCAGCTTCAGGAATAATTTTTACCATGAAATTACAAAATTTAATTGTTTTCCCCACTTACTTTCTTGCAAGGTGACAACAAGGAAGAAGGGAAAATCGACGTGTTTAAAGCATTTCCTATCAAATAGAAATATTATAAGATTAAGGACAAAATACTCGAAGTTGGGGTCAACCTGATAAAAGCCCAAATGGCTGTTTAAAAGATTAACCTATCCATCTTGGAGACAGTATTCATTCATAATAGACAAGAAAGGTGCAAGAAAACCAATCAATCAGCAGAGGATCACTGGCCTACAAAGAATGATGATGGAGGAGAGTCCAGCCTAAACACTTCAGTGGGCTGCACCCTCCAAAGCAAGTCAAAACCATAAATTAAGAGAAATATCTAAGGGATTCACAGGGTCAAGAGAAGCAACTTCCTTTATCTATCTAACCTATTTTGCAAAGAGTTGCTTTATATATACTTCTTTTTTTTTTTCTTAATCCTCACCAGAAGATATGTTTACTGATTTTATTGATTTACTTATTTTAGGGAGAGGGAGAAAGAAACATCCATTGGTTGCCCCCTGCACGTGCCCCGACCTCTCAGGTGCTTGGGAGGCCGCTGTCAGCATGAGCCACACCCACGGCCAGGGCCGCATAGCCTTCTGTACCACCGTTCACAAGCTCCGAACCGCGAGGGAAAGAGCACAGACTCGAAATGTGGATCATACGGTCACTAACAGACCCCAAATAATAGGTAGCGAAGGGTTTCAACACTTTTACCTGATACTACCAGAAGCTGGTGCATCCTCGGACCTCTAAAACCTACATAAAAAGTCGTAAATGTGCAGTAGGGCCCAAACCCACGCAATAAACCACCCCCTTCCGACCTACAGTCGCTCTGCGGTGCGACTGCTGCTTCAATCAGCTCGGCGGGAGGCCTCGGCGGAGGCGGTCACGGCCAGAACAGTCCCCGCCTGGCCGGTAGGCTCGCAGCCCCCGCGCCCCCTCCGCTCCGTTCCCCCGAGGGGCGTGCTTGCACCTGAATAACGGGGTCCCGCGTCCCCAGGTCTTTAAGACGACCAACCGGCTCTTTACCCTAAGCACAGTGGCGGCCGCGCCGTTTAAGTTCCATGTTCGTCTGACCGCAGTGTCGACCGAGTCCCGT